GGGGAAATTATATGGAAAAAAAACAAATAAAGTGAAGAACGAAAGGTTTGTAGGAAGAAGCCAAAATGTCGGTTCCTGGTTGGCTCCCCATGCAATCGTCAAAGTTGGAGCTCAGTGTTCCTCTCCGCGTAGGACCAACCATTGTTCTGTTTTTTTTTTTTTAAAAAAAATTGTAATTAAATTACTCAAACAAACAAAAAAAGTTTCCAAAGGAGAGTGATCATTTTTCATTCAAAAAATAAACATACTTATGAAGTGCCGTGTGTGTGTGTATTATTATCTTGACATAACAGGGGAAAAAACACAGAGAAAAGAACTCAAGTATTCAAGAATAATTGGGGAAAATTAATTTTAAATATCAGTACCTTGTTAGTTTAGGAAGTGAGGCCTAAGGATGAAATAAATCGAGTAAAACTTACTTTTCCCGATAAAATACTATTCTTCCGGTTCTTAATATATGACCTAATTATTAAATTGGTTTTGGTTCTACATATAAAACCTATTTCTTATATTTATCAATTTTCTCTAAATTACCCCTATGGATATTCCCTCAACCATAATCGAATAGAAGATAGAGAGGAGATATTAAAAAAAATGATTATGGTGTTTTAGGAAAAATGTGTCACATTTCTTATAATTAACTAACTTACCTAACTTTCTTAATCTAATCAAATTAGTTAAATAGGTCTTATATTAAGGACCGGAAGAGTACTTTTTATATTTAACATAAAAGCTAATTTGACATTTAATTTGACTTTAAATATAAGATCTCAATCCATTTTGTTTATCATATTTTTTTTATTTTTTTAAGTAGTCTTTATAATAATTACACGTCTTACAAATTTTATAAAATGATAATTTTAACTAGTTAATACTGATGATTTATAATAGTCTAGCTCTTTTGTAACCAGTTGCATTAGCTTTGTCGTATCTAGTCGCTAAGTTTGTAGTTGGCTTCCTTTACTCTGTTTTGTAATCGGCCTCTTCCGCATTTCTATGTGCCTCTACATACTCTTAATTAATCAATTAACTTTCTACTCTGTTAACAAGCATCTATGCCCATTATTTTGCGTGGAAATTCTGAAAATCAAAGTTGAAAAGGTGCTTAACTGCAAAATGACGCAGGGATTAGGATTTCCTTCAACAAAAGTGGCATAGCAATGTCGGTGAGGTCTTATTGGATAATAATAATAATCATAGCACGGCACAGCCACTTTTTGTTCTTCCTTTTTCCGATCTTCCTTCTTGGGTTCTTCTTCCCTAAGTTCTTCCTTTTTCCTCCCTTCTTTGGCTGCTCCCACTGAAACTCTCTCTGTGGGAGACACTTCCTCGGCTTCCCCACTGCACACACAGGATCCATGTCTCCGATCAACGTCGATGTTTTTGCCTTCATGCCCACCGGCACTTACTCAACTCCTGCAACATTAATACTATCTCCGGTCCTAATTTTAAGAATTAGTTGACTAATTTAAGGAGATTAATAAAAGAAGTTAAGTTAGATATTTGTAATAAATATTTATTATTTTTTTTAAAATATCTCTGCTAATTAAGTGTATTGGTTATAACTACCATTGTTAGAAGAACTATTTTAAAAAAAATGTATAAATATGAGAGACAAAGTAGATTGGGATCTTATGTTTAGGATCAAACTAAAAGTCAAACAAGGTTTTATATTAAGGACCAGAAGTCGTATATACTATACTAAAAAGTATTAGTCTAATGTCACCCAAAAGAAGAGTTTAAACCCAACAACCACACAAAAAGTTTTGGAAAAAAACTAAAATATATATATTAAAAAAAAAGTTGGCATGTGTTTTAATTCAAAATGCGCAATCTTATTCACGTCCGATGGAAAGAGACAACCTTAATTAATATAGACCCTGTTTGGCTCAGCGTTTCGGGACCAATAAACGGCTTATAAGTCTGAAAAGCCTAATTACAAATCTTGATGCTGTTTGGTTGAGCGATTAGGCAATCTGGCTTTTGTATGAAAAGCTACAATAAGTTATAAGCTAAAATTAACAGCTTATGACTTATGACTTTTGAAACATGAAGAGAGAAAAAGTTAAGAAATTTATTATATCTTTTAGTTCTTATTATAAGCCTCAAATAACTATTTGTAGATAATAAAAAATCAGTTAAAATTAGTTGAAAGTAATAAATAAGTTAGAAATATATTTTTATTTTTAAATATGCTCCTAGAACTATACTTTTATTTTTTCATGTTTCACTTTATATTTGAAATATTTTTATGATTTCTCTAAAGTTTTAAAATTTAATTCACTCATTAAATTTGACTTCTTCATATTAAATTATTTTAATTTCATTGCATTATGTGAAATCATTTTTTTAATCATGTTTCATTATTTATTAAAATTCATATCTATTTTAATCATTTTACAACCAAACTTATTTTTATTCAACTATAATCAAAACAACCTTTTATTAATCTCACTTTTGCAAACTAGCTTTTCTGAACCCCAATTTAAACACAATTCAACTTATCCAATTTATATTTTACCTAATTTTACTTTTCCAAAAGCTACTTTTTCAATCGCTGATCCAAACGGACCCATATTCTTCGTTTGTGCAGTCACTGTTGCGGTGTTGCTCAATCTTCCTTTAGGCTTTGTTTTGTTCAACCGAGGGGAGGGGAGGGAAAGGGAGGAAGGTCATGGTTTTGTTTGGTTGGAGGGGAGGGGAAGGGATGAAAGATTTCTTATTTGGTTCATAAGAAGAAGGGAGGAGAGGTAATTATAAATTGACAAATGTAACTTTATCTCTATATTTAAAATGATTGAATTTTTTATTACAATATTTATATCAAAATTATTATTTCTTAATTTATCAATTTAAAAAAAACCAATTACATCACTTACATGTGATAAAAAAATGATAAAACTAAAAAAAATTATAACATGCAGGTTATAATATGTATATATTAATATATATGCATGTTATCTGAGATTATAATATACACACGCTATGATATATAATTATAATATACACATGTTATGACATGCATATATTAATATATAATATATATTATATAATTATAATATTATATTATTATTACCAAATATTATTAATGGCTAAAAAGAGAAAGAAGTGAAAAAAATATTTTTAATAAGATGGACAAATTTGAAATATTGAAAAGTTAGTATGGGTAGTTTGGTTAACATTAGACATAATATTTCTCTCTCATTCAAAAAAAACCCCATATTTGGAGGGGAGCATGGGGAGGGGAGGGGAGGGGAGCACTAAAAGCCAAATTTTGTCCCTCGCCTTCCTTCCATTTTTCCCAACCAAACACACTTATCCCCTCCCCTCCTCTCAATAACCCTCTAACCAAACAGAACCTTAATCTTTTTACACACACTGTCCATATATTCAAGTTGTAAAAATAAGAGAGAAAATTAAGAAAGGGAATATGTAGGAGTTTATACCATGACGATACTTTTAGTCTGAGTAAAATGAAAAAGAGAAAGGCCAGAAATTTTTTTTGATAAACTCAATTTAAAAAATCAATAAAATAGGGCTAAAAGTTTTTAATTAATTTTTATTACTCTTTTGTTTTATATTTGTTATTAAAATTTTATAATCTTATTTTTTTTTTATTTTTTGAATCGATTCCTTCTTTTTGCTCTATTTCCCTCGTACCAAACAGAGAGTTAGTGAATTTTAATATTTATATAGTTGCCATGTGATATGCTGAGAGTGTGATTTCGCCTAGAGCTAGTAGCCAACAATTTTTTCACTTAAAAAGAAAACCCAACAATTGTGCAACATCTAAAGTCCATCATGAGTCTCATATTGGACGGTTTACTTTGACAATAAAATATTGGGCTCTACGATTTTAACGGTATGTCCACCGATGGGTATTTTGGAACCCATTCATTGAACCGACTGAACGCTGGGAAAACCCCACAATGCACTGTAAATAACGTCTGCTAGTTTCAACTTGCTTCTTATTTATGATATAATCAAATTTTCTGAATATTATTATAAGCCAAGGCTTTGGAAGACACAAGATCTCACCATCGTTTTGGGTCAGATTGCCGATGGAAACCTGGATAGTGGTTTGATTGAAAACGGAGGCTAAAGCTAAGATCGGAGGTATTTATAGAGTAAAACTGTATTAGGGGGGAAAAAAAGAATTGCAATTTCATATAAAGGAGCCAGAGATGCAAGAATCTCTTTTTTTGTATGATCAGTTTGGTATATACAGAATTTCATACTATTTTTCTCTGCCCAGCTCCATAGCCACCTCCAGCTGTAATTTACAAATTATAATTAAATAAATCTGAACATGATAGATTGAGACTGCCTTCTTTGGCAAACAGGGCTAATCAAATAAACAAAAAAAAGTTGCGAAAGGAAAGTGATCATTTTTCATTCAAAAAATAAACATATTAATGAAGTGCCATATGTGTATACATATTAATGAATTAATTGTAAATATCGGCATCTTGTTAGTTTAGGCGGTAAGGACTAAGAATGAAATATATTGAGTAAAAGATTACTTTTACCAGTAAAATCTTACCTTTATTATTAACATAAAAGTTAGTTTGACATTTAATTTAATTCTAAGTATAAAATCTCAATCCGCTTTGTTTCACATATTTTTTTTAATTTTTTTAAAGTAGTTTTTTAATAATTACACACGTTAGAAATTTCATCAAATGATAATTCTAACTAGTTAATACACTATCAACAGTGGTTCGGCTCTTCTGTAACCAGTTGCATTAGCTTTGTTGTTTCTAGCTGCTAGGTTTGTAGTTAGCTTCCTTTACTCTGTCCTGTAATCGGCCTTTTCTGGACTTCTATGTGTCTGTTCATACTCTTGATTAATGAATTATCTTTCTGCTCAAAATAATAATAATGGTCTAGCTTTAATATTAAGGATTTGATGTAGTATTACAGCAATACTCTACTAACAAGCATCTATACCCATTATTTTGAGTGGAAACTCTGAAAATCAAAATGCAAAAGGTGCTTAATTACAAAATGACACAGGGATAAGGATTTTCCGCAACACAAGTCACATAGCAATACGGGTAGGGTCTTATTGGATGATAATAATAATCACAGCACGGCACATCCACTTCTGGTTCTTTTTTCTGATCGTCTTTCTTGGGTCCTTCCTCTTCTTTGGCTGGTCCCACTGAAACCATCTCTGTGTGAGACAACTTCCTCAACTTGCACACTGCACACACAGGATCTATGTCTCCGATCACCGTCAATGTTTTTGCCTTCATGTCCGCCGACACTGACTCAACTCCTGCAATATTAACACCATTATTAGTCCAGCGCAATTAACGTTTGAGACCCTAAATTGAACTAAACCCTGCATGCTCAAGAAAAGTTTTTAATGATATACAGGACATGGATGGGAAAGAAGATGAACAAGCTGATGAACTTGAATATACCTGGAATGCCAGAGACTGCCTTCATGGCTTTCTGCTTGATTCTTTCATCGTGTAATTCCACGTTCAACACTATTTTCTGTCACGTAATGAATCAAGCAAAGATAATTGATCAGACATGAAAGGTGAACAAAGCAAAACTCTCAGAAAATTGAACGAAGAGGTTAAATGAAGTTAGATGCATGCATGTATATATAGATGATGAAAGAGTCAAGTTCTGACCTTCATAATTTCTGTTGGAATGTGGGAGGGCTAAGAAAGCGTTGCCGATGAGAAGTTGAAGAGAAAGAGATGGAGATGATTGAAGGCGGGACGAAGCGATCGAAGCTTGAGGGGAGATTTTATACACAAGACGCGGCCACAGGGATGGCACGTCGCACACTAGAGAGAGTCGAGCCACGTACTACCTCCTATCCTTAATATATTAAGATTATGTTTGATTTTTATTTTGATCCTAAATATAAGATCCTAATTTACTTTATTTCTAATATTTATGTATTTTTTCAAGATAGTCATTCTAATAATAGTAGTTTTAATCAACACACTTGATTAATAAGGATATTTTAGAAAAAACAATATATATTTATTACAAATAACTAACTTAGCTTATTTTTTTAATCCCCTCAAATTAATCAACTAGCTCTTATAATTAGGACTGGAGATAATAATAATTAACCCTCCAACGCGCAGCCTCTGTTTTTTACCTTGTTTTATTTAATGAAGGTGTGTTTTTTTCCTTTAAAGTCCTGAATGGAAAAATTGAGCCTTTAATTTTGATATTGTATATTTTCTAGATTGCATTTAGTCTGGTGAAAATTTTTCAAAAAATTGTCCAAATTTTACAATTTTTCTTTCATCTAAATATTATTACTCGTATAATCATTAGACAGTTGTTTTTCTCTCAAATTTGATCATAGCGTCTCTTCTTTGTTTGGAAGAACATTTTTTTGGCCTGAATTAGTGAATTTGTCAGAAGAACTCAATAAACGCTTCACGGTACTCATCTAACTCTTAATATATGAACTATTTGTTGAGTTGATTTTAATCTTAAATATAAGACTTATTTCTCATATTTATTAATTTTTTCTAAATTACCCATATGGATATTCTTTTAACTATAATCAAGAAGAAAAGTAAGAGAAGATAATTATGGTGTTTTAGAAAAAACTAGTTATATTCCTTATGATTAACTAAATTACCTAACTTTTTTAATATAATCAAATTAGTTAAATAGATTTTATATTAAAGTTTAAAGCAATATTATGCAAAAGGAGTAAAAAAACAGAAAGAGGGGGCAAAAAAAAAATAGCGGCTTCCGGGCTGCACATCGCGACATATACTGATCTGCTAGAAAATCAACTTACAGTTCCGTTTATTTTCAACACATGATACCGACGGCCAGAGAAAATTGTGAAGGAAGATTGGGATTTGGATTGATGGAGGTGGAACGATGGGGGTGACCTTTTGGCTTTTAGAGCTCGCAAGAAGTTGCGTGCAAAAACTCGCTTCCTTGGGATCTAATCAAACACTGATCTTTGTGGCTCCATTATCACAGCCATCCGAAATTACAGAACCCATCTGCTTGAGACATTTCTAGAGACACGTGTCGCACTTCTATTAATCCTTCTCTCTGTATTTTTTCATAGTCGAAATTTATTTTTATTGATCTTACAGGATATATTCAATTTTATGAACACCCCCCCCCTTTTGGTTTTTTTGGGGGAGGGGGGGGTTGTGTCCTGGTGGGGACGGGGGAAAGTGAGGTTTCGAAGAAGGATGAGGAGGCAAGCATGATTCATGAACCCGGAAATTGGTGGGCACCTCTGACTTTGATGACGCGGTTGTGCTGATGTTAGCATTAATTGTGAGTGGGAAACCACCTCTTCTTTCTGTCCATTTCCATTTATTTCTCATTTCAATCATCATGATATTAGTTCAGATTTCATATTAAAAAAATTATTTTATTACATATTTTAAATTATCATAATTCAAATTTAATAGTTTAATTTTACTTATTTATCCGTTAAAAAATTAATATTTTAGTAATAATTGAATGAAATACAAGTATGAATTTCAATTTGAGATGTAGATGGAATGCCCCTTAAAGGTGACAATTATCTAATCACTTATTTGCCCCCAAAAAAAAATTTAATAATTCACGTCAAGGAGTCGAAAGGCATGCTGTTTATGTCAACAGGGGTCATCGTGAAATGTTGAAAATCAATGCCAATGAAGCGTCACATAATTTATAATTTCATATATATATATATATATATCATCATAAAGTCATAAGGGGAAAATTATATGGAAACTTAATATGTGAAAAAATAAATAAATAAATAGAGTGAAGGACGAAAGGTTGGTAGGAAGAAGCCAAAATGTCGTTTCCTGGTAGGCTCCCCATGCAATCGTCCAAGTTGGAGCTCGGTGTTCCTCTCCACGTAGGACCAACCATTGCGCTGTTTTTTTTTTTTATAAAAAAAATTGTAATTAAATTACTCAAACAAACAAAAAGGTTTCCAAAGGAGAGTGATCATTTTTCATTCAAAAAATAAACATACTTATGAAGTGCCGTGTGTGTGTTAACATAGTAGGGGAAAAAGCACAGAGACAAGAACTCAAGTATTCAAGAATAATAGGGGAAAATTAATTTTAAATATCAGTACCTTGTTAGTTTAGGAAGTGAGGACTAAGGATGAAATGAATCGAGTAAAACTTACTTTTTCCGACAAAATATTCTTCCTCCAGTTTTTAATATAGGACCCAATTATTAAGTTAGTTTTAATTCTAAATATAAAACCTATTTATCATATTTATCAATTTTCTCTAATTATCCCTATAGATACTCCCTCGACCATAATCAAGTAGAACAGAAATAAGAGGTATTAAGAAAGATGATTATATTGTTTTAGGAAAAATGTGTCACATTTCTTATAATTAACTAACTTACCTAACTTCCTTAATCTAATCAAATTAATTAAATGAGTTTTATATTAAGGACCAGATGAGTACCTTTTATACTCCTCCGGTCCTTAATATAGGACCCAATTGGTGAGTTGTTTTTTGTCCTAAATATAAGACCTATTTCTCATATTTATCAATTTTCTCTAAATTACCCTTATGGATACTCCTTCAACTATAATCAAGTAAAAGAGGAAGATGAGGTATTAAGAAAGATGATTATGGTATTTTAGAAAAAACGTGTCACATTTTTTATAATTAACTAACTTACCTAACTTCCTTAATCTAATCAAATTAGTTAAATAGATATTATATTAAGGACCGGAGGAGTAGTTAATATAAGAGTTAGTTTGACATTTAATTTGACTTTAAAGTATAAGATTTCAATCCAGTTTGTTTCTCATATTTTTTTAATTTTTTTAAGTAGTCTTTATAATAATTACACATGTTAAAAAATTTATAAAATGATAACTCTAACCGGTTAATACTCATGATTTATAATAGTCTCGCTGTTCTGTGCCCAGTTGCATTAGCTTTGTCGTTTCTAGTCGCTAGGCTTGTGGTTGACTTCCTTTACCCTGTTTTGTAATCGGCCGCTTCCGCATTTCTATGTGCCTCTACGTACTCTTAATTAATAAATTAACTTTCTACTCTGTTAACAAGCATCTATACCCCTTATTTTGCGTGGAAACTCTGAAAATCAAAGTTCAAAAGGTGCTTAATTACAAAATGACACAGGGATTAGGATGTTCCTCAACACAAGTGACATAGCAATATCGGTGGGGTCTTATTGGATAATAATAATAATCATAGCACGGCACATCCACTTTTTGTTCTTCCTTTTTCTGATCTTCCTTCTTGGGTTCTTCTTTCTTAGGTTCTTCCTTTTTCCTCTCTTCTTTGGCTGCTCCCACTGAAACTCTCCCTGTGGGAGACAACTTCCTCGGCTTCCCCACTGCACACACAGGATCCATGTCTCCGATCAACGTGGATGTTTTTGCCTTCATGTCCGCCGACACTTACTCAACTCCTGCAACATTAATACTATCTCCGGTCCTAATTATAAGAGTTAATTGACTAATTTGAGGAGATTAATAAAAGAAGTTAAGTTAGTTATTTGTAATAAATATTTATTGTTTTTCCTAAATTATCACCGCTAATTAAGTGTATTGGTTATAACTATCATTGTTAGGAGAAGTATCTTAGAAAAAAATATATAAATATGAGAGACAAAGTGGATTAAGATCTTATGTTTAAGATCAAACTAAAAGTCAAACAAAATCTTATATTAAAGATCAGAAGTAGTATATACTATACTAAAAAGTATTAGTCTAGTGTCACTCAAAAGAAAAGTTTAAACCCAACAACCGCACAAAAAGTTTTGGAAAAAAAACTAATATATATATATATATATATAAAAGTTGGCATGTGTTTTAATTCAAAATGCGCAATCTTATTGACGTCCGATGGAAAGAGACAACCTTAATTACCATAGACCTTGTTTGGCTTAGCATTTCGGGCCAATAAGCGGCTTATAAGTCCGAAAAGCCCAATTGTAAATTTTGATGCTGTTTGGTTGAGTGATTGGACAATCTAGTTTTTATATGAAAAGTTACAATAAGCTATAAGCTAAAATTAACAATTTATGACTTATAGCTTTTGAAACATAGAGAGAGAAAAAGTTAAGAAATTTGTTACTTCTTTTTTTTTTTCTTATTATAAGTTTCAAATAACTAATTTGTAGATAACAAAAAATCAGTTAAAATTAATTAAAAGTAATAAATAAGTTAGAAATATACTTTTATTTTTAAATATGCTCCTAGAACTATACTTTTATTTTTTCATGCTTCACTTTATATTTAAAATATTTTTATAATTTCTCTAAAGTTTTACAATTTAATTCACTCATTAAATTTGACTTCTTCATATTAAATTATTTTAATTTTATTGTATCATGTGAAATTATTCTTTTAATCATATTTCATTATTTATTAAAATTCATACCTATTTTAATCATTTTACAACTTAACTTACTTTTACTCAACTAGAATCCAAACAACATTCTATCAATTTTACTTTTGCAAACTAGCTTTTTTGAATACCATCCAAACACAATTCAAATTATCTAATTTAGATTTTGTGCCTGTTTAGGTCAGCATTTGCTGGCTCAAACGTGGCTTATAAGTGATCATAAGCTCAGTGGAAATTTTGGTCCTTTTGGCAGAGCTTTTTAACAATTGGGCTTATGAATTTTTAAGCCACTTTAACCCACGATTGAGATAAGCTAGGGAGGGGGAGCTTCTGATCACATGGAAGAGCTTATGGACCATTCTGATAGGGAATTTATTCCCTTTACTTTTCTCTTTCATCTGCCTTCTTTATTCCCT